TATATATAAATTGAAGAATATATATAATACTTTACGAGGTCGGAGGTACTTGTCTTTTTTAAGTTTTTTCTTGATTGATATATAGAAAACCTTTTTAATAAAACTGTATTTATGTTATATATCTTTACACTGATAAAATAAAAAAATAAAATTAATAAATATTCTCATAACGTTAAATATTTAGAAAAATTCACAATGATGAAAGATTTTCGTGTCAAGCCGTGTTTTTCCTACTGTAGTTCGTGTCATGCGCTCATCTCTAATGCCAGCTAATTAAGTTGACCACACTGTAACTGCCGGCAACAGTGTTGCGAAACGAGTAAAGTATTTCAAATTAATTGACAAACACTGAGTACACTTAGTAAGTGTTTGTCAGCAAAATGCCCGGATGAATTTTTGAAAAAGTAAACTAAAAGAGGAGAAAAGTGAGAAGATATATGAAGCGTTTGCTTGTTGCGAGCTTTTCGCGGCTTGTTATCATCAATCATGGCAAATGATGACTACATATTTCATCGAAGCGGGCAGCGACTGCAATCTGCATACAAAGTTGGGTTGGGTTCTACTTTGAGCCGTTGCATAGTTGACCTTAATATGTCCTTGACCATCATCGTGCAACGCACTAGCGAGATGTGCGAATTTGTCATGCCCATTGACAGTGAGTGATGGAATGCTTTACAAGGTGGAAATTGTTTTCTGCATTTTGACAGGCCTCACTTTAGATGTGGAGAGTCGTGTGTAACTAAGTTACCTGGTTGCAGGTGAGATAAAAATTAATTTTTGAATTTGATTTTAAAGAGTTGCCATTCAAGGTGTGTGTGTCATGTCCCGCTTTATGCATCTAGTCGGAATGGTTTTTCATACAATTTTCCAGCCTCCAAAAGCAACGTCGAAATATTCACATCATATGCAAAATAATGGCAAAAACATTCGCGGCTGTCGTAAATTTTAATGAATTTATAAACAAACGGAAAAAACAACGAACATTTTGAGAAGGCAAATACAATATTTGATGCCAACACCTACTGGCAATGGGCAAATATCTTATATACACACTCCCACATAAATGCCATGTGTACAAAGAGAGCGATATATGTATATCCATGCACACTCTGTGCAATTATGAGGCAAACAATTAATTTTCAAGTTCATTTGCGTGGGTAACGCGGAGCGCTCGAGCGCCAAGACCCTAGCAGGGTCTATATAATAGATAGAGCATACAGAGCATATGTATACGCATGTGATCCGAGAGTCCGAGTAAATACATATGCATATGTATTTATTTTTATATTTTTGAGAAAATGTTTTTGTACATTTTTGCGCTTTGAAGGTGGCTGCTTCATGTTAAGGTTAAATATACATATATGAGCGATGCCATAGGAACGAGTATAGAGTATCGAGAGCTTTCGTAGCTTCCAACGAACGTCGTTGAATTTTACTTATTCTATTCTATATTTCTATATTTCTTTTTCTTCACTTGTTTAATATAATGGCCATGGGCGGGAAGTTGCCGAGCGTATGACTCAAAATTTGATTTCAATTTTTTTTCTCAATGTTGGATATGTTGCTCATACGCCGCGTTGACCGCCGCGCCGACTTTTTATTTTCAATTTCGTCTCGTTCCATTTCGCTTGACACTCAAACACAATTTTTAAATAAGTTTGGGAATTAATTTGTAGCAAGTGCAACAAATCTAAAAGCATATAAATGGAATTTGTTGTTTATTGCATTATATACAAATTACTGTTGCTGTATAAATAAACCTATATTATTAAATAGTCTTTGCATCAGATATAAATGTTGCTGTCTGTTCAGCTGACACAATGGCATTTGCTCAATAGTTTATGGCAGATTCTTTGGCAGCATCAAAATTATTTACATCTGTGAAATGCAGTTAGAGAGAAAGAGAGAGAGAGAGACAGAGAGAGAGAGAGAGTGGGACAGACCGAGAGAAAGCAAATAATTATCTTAATAATTGACCTCATTTGCACAAGTGACTCATATATATGAATTATTTATAATACATATTTGTATTCGCGGTGAGCCCAAAATGATATATGGCGCTGGCTAAAATTGGTTGTGGGCAAATAATTAAGCTGTTTATATATGCAGCTGTTTCATGTCTTAAGGTTAAGCCTGTCTGTGGCTGGAAGGTAAAAGTTTTGCACACAGCCCCAAATCAGGCACTTTGGGCTAATGGCTTAAGAGTCATGTCTGCCTGTTGTGGGTAGAACCAATTGGGAATTATAAGTGCAAGCGCGTGCTGTACACCAATGGGATTCGTGGCCTGTGAAGTGCTGTTCTCTCATTGAAATGTGTGTATGCATAAGAAATGGGTTAGAGAAAGTAGTCTAAGTTAAGCGTTTAATTAATATTTGAACTTTATTACATTTTTATTGATAAAATAATTTAAAAATTATAAAAACGATTGTGGGCTTTGGAAAATTCTTCTAGATGAGGCTGTGCAAGAGACTTTTGTATGATTGTCTGAAGATGGCAAGTGTTAGGCTATCATGTCGCTGAGTGAAGGTTCTTTTGAAATCCTTAGGCATATCTTAATCGCAACCTTTTAACTAGTTTTGTGCTTCACAAATTCTCAATCATTATTTGCTTGAAATCTAACATTATGTGACATGCTTATTTATCTACATTTCCCATAGTAAAATTCATAGACATTTTGCACTTGGCAGTTAAATGAACATCAAAGTAAACAAAGAACTTTTGGTTTTAATTTTACGTCGTAGGTTTTTTTTGAGAGCAATAAAAAAGAAAAGCAAATTGTTTCGCTTGGCCAATTCGGTTGTGTGCCAGAAAGTAAAAGTTGAAACGATTTTTTAAAACAAAACTTTTTGTAGGTGCATTTTACATTTCGATTTGCCAAAACAGATCTTTGCCAGGTATTTCCCCACAAATTGTTGTTGTTGTTGTTGTGATTTTCCTTTTTTCTGTGCAATGCATTTTCACACAAAGTCAAGTTCATGTCCACAAACCACGCCATTACCACATCTAAATAGTTTATTTAAGGGCAAAACAAATTTGCCGTATTATGTAAGGTAAACAAACAAAGTCAAACGAAGCGTCCGATGCTGTTGCAAGAGCCTTGACGCAAATCGATTTTTGTTTGTCTTATTCCAAAATATTAAACTAAAGCGGAACTGGACATTTCGCTTATAAACTTTTAAACCAAAATAAACAATTGTCGAAAGGTCAAACTGCCCGTGCGAAGCTTAGATAACAGGAGTAACAAGCAAGAGGTTCTAGTCGGGAGCTCCCGACTAGGGGATACCCTGAACCCTCTTCTTCCAACAGGCGATAGGTAGAAAATGAAAGATACTTGATATATTTATACTATTCTAGAAGCTACATGTCATGTTTGGCGACTCTAGCTCATATTATTTACCAAAATTGCTCAAAAACAGGATATCGATATCGATATTTATCGATTACTTGGAAACGGGGCAAGTTATCAAATATCGGAACATCGATCTGCGCGGGCACTAGGAGGACCTACAGCTAAAATTTCAAGTCTCTTGCTGTTATAGGTTCTGAGATCCTTGAGTTCATACATACGGACGGACGGACAGACGGACGGACAGATGGACGGGCAGACGGACATGGCTAGATCGACTCGACTGTTGATGCTGATCAAGAATATATAAACTTTATGGGGTCGGAGATGCTTCCTTCTGCCTGTTACATACATTTGCACAAATACATTAATCCCATTTTTACCCATTTTCAATGGGTTCAGGGTAAATGTATTTCTCGACTGCCCTTTAATCCCCTTTGAACCCCATAGCCATGGAGATCTGGAAACTAGTTGTGTTTGTCTTTAGTTCGGATGTGGCATACGCCCACACTTGATTTTCCATCTAGTGTGTAGGCTTTCAGATATCTGTTTTGTTTAGTTTAAAATGTTGACTATTTGTTTACGCACGGAGGTAATTTATTTATTTATCTATGGACCACATGCAGCCATCAGATTGGTATTCAATTCGTTTGGTTTTCAATTAGCAGGAACAGGTATTGGCTTTGTAAACAACCTGCACGCATTTTCAAATACCAGAAATCATATTGTGTAAACCCGAATAAACAAGAAATTCTGTTTAAATCAATTTGAATGTCATTCGATTGACCTTTATCGCTGGCGAATTACGGATTTTTGCATTTGTTTATATTGGGAGCATAACATTAATAAGTATTCAATATTAAAACCGGGAAAATATGCCGTGTCAACTATTTAATGCCATTGAATGTTATTTAAAAAAAATAAGCAAAATATTTCAAAAAGTCGAATTCACAATTTTCTGCACTTAAGTATTTTTTTTGTTTCACCTAAAGAGCTTATAGAATCCTGTTGATATTGTTTTAACGCTATAAAAAAATCGTTTTCTTTAGCAAGCATTACTGATGGCATTCCATATCGCATTGTTATCGCTTTTTTATCTTCCAGGTAAGAAAGTGGCGCCTTGCAATCAGTTAAAAACAGAATATAGAAACTCTGATATGTAAATTAATCGTATTTAATATTGAATATGTGTTAAGCTGCCAGGAAAATTGAGTTCAATGCTCAGTTCAATATCACAATTGACGCATTTCATTCAGATAATAATAACTAAATAAATAAATACAATAAACATTTATAAAAAAAAATTCAGATAATAACAATCAGCAGAACATTTTATGCACAAATATGAATGGGAGAAAGTGTGTAGAATATTGTACAAATATAAAAAATTAAGAAATCAAACAGAATATACCCTGAAGATATTTCGAATATGAATATGATGTTATACTATATGTGTGTGTGTGTGTGGGTGAATCTCGGGTTTTCTTTTTATGAGCAAAACAATGAGTGGGCGAGTCAGATGCCGCCCTCGAGTGCCCACCAATTGGCCGAAAGCTATACGCGAACTTGCTGAGCTTTTTGGCCACACACACACACACACACACACACACAGACACACGCATGTGTGTTTATAGCTATAGATACTATATAGATCGGCTACCTACGCCGTAAAGGAATATCGTGCTTTTGTCGTGTATGTGAAACAAATGGCAAAATTGTGAAACGAGTAAAATTGGTGAGGCGAATTTCGAATGGTTTGCAGTTTGAAAAAATTCTTCGTTGAGGATAGATCGCTATTTTTTAGGAGTAAAGCAAATTGTAAGCCAAGCAAAAAAAAAACTGAATACTATATGAACAAATAAATAAATACTTATAAATAATATCAATTAAATTAAATTTAATTATCGTGCAGTTATTGAACAATCACAAAGTGTACAATTATATTTTGTATTTAAAAAGTGTGTAGCTAATCTCTGAGTATTTCGAAATCAAAATATGACAAAATATGATTGCCAATGGCCGATATTATATAAGCAGCCAGCAAAGACATTTGACACCAAGTGAATATTGAATAAGTTTGATCGAATCCACCAAAGCGAATTGTGAAGTGTTTGAATTTTATACGAACTCGATTTCAAATAAAACATAAAAACTTGACTATAAAAAATACGAAAAAAAAATTCGAATGAATTCAATTGAGAATTTTGGCGTCGTCTTTTTAAGCTGACGCCCGTCAGGAAAAATTCAACTCAAGGACATTTAAAAATAACGCAAATTTAGCTGCAGCTCGCGCAGATCGTCGTCACACACACACACACACACACACACACACACACACGCACACACAAGCTAACAGCAGATAGACTTGATGTACATAGAATTTTGGCTAGTTATATATTTACATATAGAGAGAGTGTGAAAGATTCAGTGTGCCGCTTAATATATTAATTTTTTGATATGTATATACATACGTGCGTATGCTGACGATATTATTTGAGTTGAAAATGTATTTTTAGTGATTGATCTTGCTGAAGATAGACATATGTATATGTGTATATATATACAAGTAGACAACTATTTTATACAATTTTTTGTAAACTTTGCTCGGCTGTAAAGTGGCACACAGTCTGTTTATTTTCGAACTGAACAAATGCGCCGAGTCAGCCAAGATTTGGACATCCACATCCACATCTATAGCTCTTGGTGCTGTCCCAATCTCGTGCGTGTTGACATTTGAACAATCGAATACAACTCACAAACAGCGCCAAAACGTGCTATAAAACTCAAGAGTCGTAGACTTTGGCGTTGACAGAAAACAAATTTCGAATTGGTGCAAAGTGCAAGTTAATACAAGAAAAAAAAAACGTATCATAATAATAAAAACGAGAGAAAAAATACGAAAAATATAATTGGAAAACTTTTTGGTATTGCAGCGAACGAGTTCAACGAATATTTCTTGTGCTTGAAAGACACAAAACAAATCGATCAAAATGTTCAAAAACCATTTGGAAATGATTGGGCGCAATGAGAGCCCCAGCAAGAAGGCCAAATTCTGGCAATCCTACATCAGATCCCTGAAGGGTAAGCATTAATATCATATCCATTTAGCATTGCTAGAACTAAACTATGAATATCCCATGGATTTGTATTTCGAGAGAGCTAACTTATAAAAAGTCTTATAGACTTGGGAGCTACATAAATAGCACAAGCAGCGTATAGAATTTTGGTCTATTTTTTGGCAGGTGTCATTTAAGCGTAATGGCCAAAAAAGCTACACGCAGAAAAGCTTTTTTCTTTTCAATTTATATATATTCATATATATATATATATGTATATATATCTGTTATGTATGTATATTGAAAATATCTTAACTATGTGCTCATGAGCCAAACAAAGCGAAAAAATGTGGCTGCTGCGCCAAGGCAAAATAACTAGGCGCTCATATAGAAAATACAAAATTCAAAATACGAAACACAAAAATGAAATCAATTTTTTGGCAATGAGCCAAATAGCTGAAATAGCACAAAACCTTATGAAGTAAAGCAATCCCAGTAGTATATATCAATTAGTTATAATTATTGTTGATTCCTTTGCCACTTCACAGGCTCGGAGGATATTCGCGCCCACGATACGCCAAGAGCCTCTCGCCCATACAGCTCGTACCTGGATTCGCCCACATACAGGAGCATCTACGATGAGCCCGCCACGGCCAACGAGCGCGTTCAGTCATCTGGCTACAGATATTTGCCAGTGAGCCGTGACACCTACGGCTACTCGCCTCGTGCCATCTACGATCATCATTACAGCAGAACAAGTAAGTTGCCCAGTTGGATCAACCCTTGTACTAAGTACTACTACTTATCCTACAGCAACAGTAACCCGCACAATTCTACTGCCTAAGAGCTTTTATTGATTACTTTACTATTGTTTTTTTTTTTTGCTCAATCACGCCATTAATCAGTTAGTCAGCGCATTTCAATCATGCATTTTGAATTCTTTGCAAAACAGGTTGTTTTTATGATTCGATCAGGCCATCCATCAGTTAATCAGTCAGTCAGTCAGCGCACTTCAATCATTGCATATATCAGTACTTTTTTAAGCTCTTAAGGCTCCGTCACGCCATCCATCAGTCAATCAGTCAGCGGTCTTCAATCATTGCATCTATCAATCAACAAAATTATAACAATCAGGCCATTCATCAGTTAATCAGTCAGTCAGTCAGCGCACTTCAATCATTGCATATATCAATGGATTTTAAAGCTTTGCTGCAATCCTTGAATTGATAACGAGTTGATCTTCAGGCTCCGTCACGCCATCCATCAGTCAATCAGTCAGCGCACTTCAATCATTGCATCTATCAGTCATGCATTTTTAGCTGTACATCAACAATTGAATTGATAACGAGTTGATTTTCTGGCTCAGTCACGCCATCAATTAATCAATCAGTCTGTCAATCATTGCATATGCCAATCGTGCATTCTTAATGCCAGCACATCTTGAATTGCTAACGGGTTGCCAAGTGACGATACATTTTTCTGTATGATTTCATAATTATATAAAATAATAAAAGAACTGAATAAGAAAGAACTGCAGAAAGCCAAAATAGAATTACGTCAATGATTTTCAGTATTTGTGCGCTCGGTGAATTGTTTTTGGCAAAGGCCCACAAAAGTTGAGCACAAAAAAAATACACATGTTCATAAGCTTTCTGCTGGTAAACACAAACACACACATACACACACATATATATATACATTTATATATACATGCAGGTACATAAGACTGGGGAGAACATTTTGAATTTGCTCACGCGTGCCTCGGATCAAATAACTGAGGCATACAATTTTAGATACATAATTATTTTTATATAATTCTCGTGATTATTATTTAGCGTCCATTCCCCGCGTCTGTGCCCATAACAAAGCTCTATTTATTTTATACCCTACACCCCGACAGCACACACAGCCACATAGTCAAGTCTACGTTTTTTTTTTTTGATTTTCGAAACTAACCAATTTTTTCTTTCTTTTTTTCTCATAAATGTTTCAGAAAATACATAAATGTTTTTCGACAAAAAATACAAGAAATTTAAGAAAAATATATATTAAAATCAAATATATATATATATATATATATATAAACTATATATCGACGCAGCGCACTACAAAAGATATTTTCTCTCTAGGCAAAATCAACATTTTAGTTATATATTTAGTAAATACTAAGAGTGGAATCTGTAGCATTAGCTGATATGTGTGTAGCATAATATTCGGAATGATTTATAGTCATTTTTCTAATGTAGTTCTGTTGGCTGAAATTCAATAAAATATTTGTTCTCTTAACAATTTCTCGTGCTTTGGAAAACGTGTATTCAATTGTGCATTTCACATTCATGACATTCATCAAGGTATTCTGTATCGCATTCAATCATCATTTGATTTCATTTGATGCACTTGATCTTTCCCATACCCAAGGCTTTTCTTATTTAAATGCAACTTTTTAAAACTATTTTATTTTCAATTCTTTTCTTTTCTGCTGCCTTTTAATTGTTAAACCCGCTTTGTATTGGATAAATATCGTACGTATATCCAACTGCTTTTTATTGACCAAAAAATGGGAATATAACGCAAACGCTGAGAGTCCCAGTCTAACAGTCTATATAGTAAAATATTGTTTTGCCTTCAAATGTAAGCAAATATATTTATTGTTCCGTTACTTTTATTTCTGTTTTAATATTCGAATGCTTTGATTAAGGTTTTTTGCGTACATTTTCATATTGATTAATATGCATTCTCTTCGCAGTTCCAGCTAATTACGATGCAGAGAAGGCCTGGAATGATCATTTGAAGCGCATGCAAGAAATTGAGCGCAGGTGTGTGGCAATTCTATATACCCTACTATATCCATGATACTATATACTGATGATATTGTGTGTGCCTTTCAGATATCCATCTCGCTATGGTCTCTACTTGAGAGACAAGCCACTCACACCAAACTCTTTGGTGCCTTTGGAATACGAGCCAGAGGATAAGCTGTTGACTGAACTCAACAAGGGTAAGGATATCAAAGACATTTACTAAATACGTCAAAAAAAAACAAACAAACACAAGAACATCAGCAGAAAGTAGCCAAAACAACAACAACAACATTTATATAAAAATCTACGAAATTTGAAATTTATTGATAAACGACAACAAAATTTAAGACTACTTGTTAAAAAGCTAGAAAAATTACAAAATGTAAGCACGAAAACAAAAAAAAATAGCAGCAAAGCAAACAACATCACACTCAACAGAATTTTTTCAAACTCAGCCAAAAAACTTACACAAAAGAAAAAGAAACATCAACTCGAAACTTGACAAGCAAATTTTTTGACATAAGAAATTTGCGCTGTTCAAGTTTCGATTTGACTAATTTCTATAAATGTTTGAACGAACTATATCTTTAACACTGTATATCGTATACTATATATATATCTTGCAGCCAGTTTGATGTACTGAGCGTTTACATTCGAAAAAGGCTAAAAAAGGCTGAAAACGTTTGTTTTGGCTTAGCTTTAGTAAATTGTAAAATTATGCAGAAATTGTTAAACAACAACCAAAAATCAACAGCAAGTAAAATGATAAATAATAATTTTAAATTAATTTGTCTGTAAAAAGAATCCAATACCCCAATATAGTAAATGGAAGAAAAACAACAAACAACAACAACAACAACAACAAACAACAAAAGAATTTCGTTAAATGTTTCATTGTATGATATGATGCTTTATTTAATTTTTATTTTTAACTTATTTATACAAACAAACAACGAAAGTAATAAAACCAAACAAAACACATATAAATATCTAATTTTAATTTAGACATACTCAGAAAATAGAAATCATATAAACCAATTAATAATTATATATATATATATGTATATATATATATATATGTCATTAAAGCATTCTAACCGGCCGTTGCATACAAAACTCATCAGCTCCCATCATTTAAGCCAAGATCCGTATCCATCCCCAAACTACTTTAAGCCTTAAACATTTCTTCTAACAGCTGTACCATAGACTTGTTTTGATAGCTGCTAAAGTGTTTTTTGGCCGACACAGTCTGTTTGATAAATCAATGTACCGCTGTCGCACTGAGCTGGCTTTTCACAACTCTGAGAAGACTCTTAGTTTAATACAAAAGGAATTAATAAAAACTATTAAATACCAACAACTGTGTTTTGCATATACCGATTTTAAGAAAAACTAAACTGACTTTTGTCCTGTATTTTAAATGTATATACCAAATTCATACACATTTGTTGCTGTTTTTTTTTTTTTTGTAACATTGTAAAGTTTTTTTTTTGAATTCAATTAATACCACGTCCTCGTTTGTGATTGTCTATATCATTTCTTCGTCGCTCCCCCAGCTCACAACTACTAAAAAAAAGAACATAGATACATACACTGTGCGGTGCCTGTAAATAAACTGCCAAAATAATTAAAAAAAAAAAAAACAAACTAAAAACTTTTCAAATCAAATGAAATATTTAACGAAGACTGTGTTCAATGTATTTCACATACAGTATAATTTATGATGTACACATATAATTATGTTTAATTTTCCTCTGGCAGTATTTAATCGAAAAAATTCGACAAAATAGTTAAATTAATCCAAAAAAAATTGTCATAACTTGTTTCGTGCCCACAGTTCTGTAATTTTGTACGATGTACTATGTGCTATGTAATTTGTTTAGTGTGTTGTTTAGGGTTTCGTTAGAATGTCTGAACATCGTTGGGTTGTTGTGTTTATTTTGGGAACTGCTGCCGGTAAGTACTAACATAATCTTAAACAATCTGAACAAGAGAAATTCAACTAGAAGCGAAAGAAATGCATTTGATTAAAATGTCTCTCGTATAGTAAATTTGAAAGTTATGTTCTTTTTGGATGCGAGCTCGCATTGCCATGGTTTATAAGACTAAGTATTTCCTTTGAAATCCACACCCACTTGGGGGCGGCAGCTGGACATGTTTTCGAGTATCTTTTCCCAGCTTGCAAATGTGAAAAAATAAGCACACACACGCATTGTACGAGAATTGTCAAAGAAAAGGCGATGAAAGCTTTGAATATAAATGAAATGGGATTTCTATTCAAGTGCGTATGTATGGTTACCTTGACAAGCAAGGATTTAAATAGACTTTTCATAACGTAGAACAGGAATTAAATGCTCAATTTTTCTTAGACAAACAAACTGCAGGCATCGAGAATTTAATTATTAAAAAATTTAATTAAAATTTTACTGTGCACTGCTTTTGCTCGAAATGAACTTTTCACTTTGCGAGTGAGTTTCTTAGCGACCAGGAAAACAAAAAGAATTTAACAATAAGGAAATCAGGGTATTAGATACAATCTCATTAGGGGGGCCACAATTTAATTGATCCTATTACAGAATATCGTCGAATTGTTACTAGGAGTTTTAGCTTTGAACTTGTTTGTTTTCCGTTTCCATTTGCAGCACGTCGCTCGGTGTCGCCGTTCCGTCCCAGCCGCAGCACACGCGCTGGCAGTGAGCCCTATGTGCCACCGCCGGTCTACTGGAATCGCGAGGGCAGCGTGCCACGCGGCGGACCTTCGGTGTTCGATCGCGCCACCAGTCTGGCTCCGTTCACGCGGCCAAGCTTCCGGGCCAGCTCGCTGGAACCGTTGGATGAACTCTTTGAAAGTAAGTTGCCAGCAATTGCTGAGGCGGCGGCCGATGCAGCCGCCAGTAGGCCAAGCATTTTTGAGCGCGCCGGCTCACCAAGTCCCACTCCTGTCAAAGCCGGTCGCTGGGGACCACGTCCCACCGAAGTCGCCTACGATGCTGAGGGTAAACATCTAAATTCATCCTAAACCGTTTTTCTTTATACAAGAAGAGACGAAATTTCTCTCGTTGTTGTTCTTTATTATGGCTTCTATTGCCCAAATGCGACACAAAATGTTAATGACAACCGCAAAGACAACGATGATAATGATAATGATGATGACGATGATGACGAACGTGTTGAAAAATTGTTGCCATATTTTTCGCGATGCGTTCGTATCTGTTACAGTCACTTTGTGCGTGTGTCGCTAGAATTTGTCAAAATTTTTATTTATTTTTTTTTTATGTACTTTGGCTGCCATCCAACAACATTTTTATTATGCTCCTTGTGTTGAGTGTACTACCAACAGCATCAGCAAAAAAAAAAAAACAAAAAAAAATTAATTTAATGTTAGCCCAAAAGTAAGCGCCGTGCTTAAAGTCTTTAATCTTGAATTCATTTAAACGCTTCTCCCCACCTACTTTGCTTTTTGAATTGCTTCCCGTAGCGCCTGGCACCTATCCTCCCTCTCTCCCTCTCTCTCTCTCTCTCTCTCTCCCTCTCTCTTTCCTATCTTTATTTATTCTCCATTTTCTGATTTTTGGTCAATTTTCCACTTCGAAACTCTACATACGCATGGAAAATATCAAAAAATTTGTTGATGTTAAAGCGTTGTCTTTTCTTGTTTTTTTTTTTTGTTTAATTTTTGTATTTTAGTTTAAAAGCAAAGCAAAAAATATTTCTCTTTCTGCTCTTCTTGTATACATTGCAATACAACAAAACACAACAAAAATCAACAAATCTAATTGTATACCCTACAACACGCACATTACACCACCACCAACAACAACAACAACAACAACAACAACAACAACAACATAAATTGATGATGATTTTGCTACTGGACAATAAACACACATGTCGAACCACAAAAATAGGACTTCCCATCTTCCATCCACGCAACCGGTTCAGGGATATGCTGAGCCCCAGCCCGAGGCTGCCAATCTCATCGATTGTGCGCGATCCCTTCTGGTGGGATGTGGATGATTTGGTGCCGTTCCGTGCCAGCTCGTTGCCCCGCGCCTCGAGCCCCGTGGCCCGTGATTCGTATTTGTCGCCGGTGAAGAATCGCTATCTGTGGTCCAGGCACCCAGCCAGACCCCTGACACGTAAGTAGTCGCCAGATGGATGATTATTATTTAAGTCCTGCTATTGTACATACATATATACAATTCAAAAGCAACCTGTATATATTTTATGCTATTCACTGGCAAAAATCCCACGTTTCTTGGAACTCATGAATACCATTTTAAGCAGTCGAGGAAAACATTTCAATTTAAAGCATGATAGAGTTGATATAGAGAAACATACTTAGTCCAAATATAATTGAATTGTTAATTCTCATGCTATTCAATTCCAAATATGAATATTTTAACATTATTATTTTTTGTTTTATTTACATTTATTTGCCAAACACAGCTGAGGCAGAGGATTATTTCTAAAACAAATCAAATCAAAAAAAAAAAAATCAAACATAAACAAAAATCTATCAAAATCGTTAGCTCTAATAACAAGCGATGCTATATCATCATATAGCACTTCTGTAATTTTTTTGTACTTTAATTTACATAAATTACATGTAACGAAATGCAATACAAACAAATTGGTAAGAATATTATTTAAACAAACAAAAAAAAAAACCCTTCCACAGCATGTGAAAAATTCGTTCATGCAAGCTACACTATCCGACATGTAGTGCCGTATACTAAGTAGAATATCCCGTATTACCCCTAGAAGAACATTATCTTATACTTATATTCGTAGTACAAGTAACTAAGTAGTTGTAGTAACCATTTGACCAAATTGAAGAACCATACAAATTGTGATTAACATTCTAAAAAAAACGCACGCATTCCTTTGAAAAAAAAAAAAAACTTTGATACGTATTGTAGTTTATTATCTGTTTCTGGCTCAAATCGGTTGTTGGATTGTTATTAATATCAGTATTATTATCATTTCTGACAGCTCACCGCTCAATTTTGTAAACGAACGAAAACGAACTTTAAAACAAGAACAACAACTATAACAACAACAACAACGAATGCATCAATGGGGTCCCCAAAACAACGACAAGTCTTTGGTTTCCCACAACAAGAACCGGAACCGGAAATCAACGAGAGTAGCAAAAAATGAATCTGTAGTCTCAAAATCCTCAACAACGATTGAATTTTTTCAAAACTGCCAGCCCCATAACAATCGGCGGCTGCCTCCAACTCAATATTGCCATCAAGTGCGTACTTCCCGTAGTAACAATAAAAGAAATCATAATAATAATAATAATAATACAATTATAATAAAAAATGAAAAAACTAATAACTAAAGGAAAACATTTTACAACAACAACTCTCAATAGAAAGTTTTTATTTTCAATTTCTTAGCTCATGTCTTAGTAATAAGTGCAAGTATATGAACAAAACAAAAAAAAAATCCAAAATTCGATTTACATTTATTATATAATAAAAAAAAACCAAATCTATTATGAGAAGCTCTTGAACAACCCGAGCGCCATAAATTGTTCCTTTTTTGTATATTTTAGACGCTATATTTGTAATTGTATTGATAACAAAAAAATACAAAAAGAAAACTCGGATTTCAAGTAAAAACGGTTTGATTTTTGGAGTACTCAATAAAATTGTAAGGATAACTGAACGTTTCACTGCACATGCGAATATATATCTGCCATACTATATATGAACACAACAATATTGCGGCTTAGCATATTTTCAACTTGTAATAAAACAACAACAACAAAAATATTTAAAACTTCTGAAAAAAAATAAAAAAAATTTCAAAAAGCCCAAAAAGTTGGAGTATTACGTTTCTTTAAGCTGAACAGTCCAAAATCACATGCGAATTGAGAAAGATAACAAGAGGGTCAAAAGAGGCTCCAAATATATTTCGAGTGTCAAAACTCGATTTGCTTGGATTTCGAAAAATGTTGTGAAATCTAAAATCAAATCTTGAGTTTAGTTTAATAAATTCGTTCGGATTAAATGTTGCAGACCCTGAGATCTCAGTTGCGAGCGACTGCAATAGTTGCTGTCAAATTCAACTTACTGTCAAATAGCATTAACTTTGACATCAACTTGCATGGATTTCAGAAATTGTTGTGAAATCTAAAATCGAATCTTCAGTTTAGTTTAATAAATTCGTTCGGATTAAATGTTGTAGACCCTGAGATCTCAGTTGCGAGCGACTGCAATAGTTGCTGTCAAATTTAACTTAAACTTTGACATCAACTTGAACTTTAACGAATATTGTCAAGTTGTTCCATTCTTTTGCAGTGCTGGCCCGATAATAGTCGCAAATTGAGTCCATTTTCAATGAGAGGGGTAGGGGATGAATTTCGTTGCCGCTCTCATGCCTTGAATGAACATCAGCAAATATGAATGAAATAGTTTTGTACACGCAGCGTGTTTGCCACTGGCCTTAATTAATTTAAAAACATCCAGAGCTTAGTCAACTAATGGACAGTGCTGTAAACATCGAATGTCATAGAACTGTCCATGGTTCCATTTCTTTTCCAGCGATGTCATTTATCTTTTTATACCCTGAACCCATTGAAAATGGGTAAAAAGGGTATTATGTATTTGTGCAAATGTATGTAACAGGCGGAAGGAAGTATCTCCGACGCCATAAAGCATATATATTATTGATCAGCATCAACAGCCGAGTCGATCTAGCCATGTTCGTCTGTCTGTCTGTCTGTCTGTCCATCCGTCCGTATTTATGAACGCAAGGACCTCAGAACCTATAACACCAAGAGACTTGAAATTTTGGCTGTAGGTCCTCCTAGTGCCCGCGCAGATCAAGTTTGTTTCCGATATTCGATAACTTAAAAAGTAATCGATAAAAATAATAATATCGAAATCCTGTTTTTTGAGTAATTTTGGTAAATAATATGAGCTACTGTCACCAAACTTGACATGTAGCTTCTAGAATAGTATATATACATTAAGTATCTTTCATTTTATACCTATCACCTGTTGGAAGAAGAGTGTTCAGGGTATCCCCTAGTCGGGAGCTCCCGACCAGGACCTCTTACTTGTTTTTTGTATTTTTCTAACAATTTTCCTTTTTTTTTTTTTGACTTTGACTTTGACGTTTTTGGCGTTTAGCACGCAATTGTTTTGCACTTTTTGCCGCCTGCCGTTTGTCTGTTTGCGCTGAGTCTGCAGCGAGTCCTTCGAGTCCTTCGGATATATGCACACGCTTTATTGTTTCGGAGCGCCCTACTTTCCTTTTCTTTATTGTTTCTGGTCATTTGCTACTTTTTTTTTCTTCGAATTTTTCTTCTATTTAATTATTGATTCACACCAGTTCTATTGGCAAAGGTCAACCAATGTCAATTATATTTGCTGCTGGGCGGCCAGCTCTTTGGAGATTTCGCGCTCCTGCCATTTTGTACAGCATTTCAATTGCGTTTTAACAGTTGTTTTGATGCGTGTCCCTCGTTGATTGGCCAAGTGGTATTTTCTGCTGATCCCTCTGTGCTCAGCCACAGCGCGTATGCCACGTCATGTGGGGGATGCCCTTTGCCTTTGCCAATGCATGCCCCGAGCATTTAATTAAAAATTTAATCTCTATGTCAAATTGCTTGCTCCACGAAAAGTTTGCAAAAGGAAAGTCTGTGGCACGTTTTTTCTGGGCGGTCATGCAAGAGGAATAATATATATTTTGCGGCTGCTTTATTTGTTCAGGTGTAATAATTGTGTGTAAAGAGCACCAAACAATTTTTTATATGCTTTTCGCATTGTATTGGGAATTGACATTCTTTTCCCCAATTACCAGTTAATCAATTAATTTAATTAGACGACTCTATATTCTTAAAGCTTAAGTAATCATCATTTTGATTAGAGGAATATATATATATTTATATATATTTCCCACACATACTTAAAAGTCATATTAATATTTGATTTCTGGCAAACAATTTATGAAACTGTTCGCCATCCAGCTTATATTGTTTATATATTTTATTAAATATATATTATACATTTTTATTTATCTTTAAAGTTCTTCGTAAATGTTATTTACATGTATCCCTCTTACAACAAGAAATTGCTTCTTAATAAATTTCGGCCTTGAGGTGCCCAGCCAGTTCATATACTCCTCAATATTAAATTCATTAAATTCCTGAATAGCTTAAACTAAGTCTTTAACTTTTGACTTTCATCCACATCAATTTCTATTTCGATTATTTACTCTGACTTCGAGGTCTTCACAATTTTGTGGCAAGTTCAAGCTGAAGTTCAGATGTTGCCGACAAATGAACCCAAAGAAGTTTTGGCGTAAAATCTTAAAATAGTTTAGCTAGAATTTTCTGAAAATCTACTCGCAAATGTAATAAACACTCATTATCTGGGATTAGTTTGTTAGGGTATTTAAAAGTCCCTGTGGCAATGATTTCTTCGTCTTTGCGGTTTTTGTGCGTACTTTTTGTTTTGTGCCTGTTGCTGACGGCATTCGGGACAGCTTAAGATTTATATATTTTGGCCAGAAACTTTTGACCATGGCAACTTTGGCCATCAAATGCACGTGCTGGGCTATCGTCCAAAACTGACAGCCAATGCTCTGCTAATTATGATGGGCGTATGGGCGTGGCAGTTGCTTGATATGCCTGTCACATATGCCAGAGCAAAAATGTTGCGTGCTTTTAGGAGCGCGTTTCCGCTCAAAGGGTTTAATTGCTTCATATTGTTAAAGTGGAAACAATGCAAAATAAAATTCAGTCATCTAGTGAATTTCGCATGGGTCACTGAGTTTCGGTTCACCCGGCGAATTAAATATAATTAGAGTGCCAAAAAGCGCACGAAGCTGAAATGAAACCAAGTAAGAGGTTCTAGTCGGAAGCTCCCGACTAGGGGATACCCTGCATCCTCTTCTTCCAACATGCGAAAGGTATAAAATGAAAGTACTTGAAATATATATACTATTCTAGAAGCTACATGTCAAGTTTGGTGACTCTAGCTCTTATTATTTAACAAAATTGCTCAAAAAACAGGATCTCGATATCGATTTTTGTCGATTACTTTTCAAGTTATCGAATATCGGAAACAAACTCGATCTGCGCGGGCACTAGGAGGATCTACAGCCAAAATATCAAGTCTCTAGCTGTTATAGGTTCTGAGATCCTTGCGTTAATACATACGGACGGACGGACAGACGGACGGACGGACGGACAGACGGACATGGCTAGATCGACTTGGCTGTTGATGCTGACCATGCGGATGGAGATGCTTCCTTCTGCCTGTTACATACATTTGCACAAATACATAATACCCCTTTTACCCATTTCCAATGGGTTCAGGGTATAAAAATGAATATTCACAAAATGATTGATGCATGTCAGAGGGCAAAAGCCGAAATGTCTGGCAAACGAACCCAGTCTAAGGACCCTCAATTAAAAGACCTTAATCGAAACAAAGACACAATAGCTGCTTCGAGGATATTTCAATTGACGAGCGTTTTGTTTGGTTGGGGCAGATACACTTGAACTGTCTGCAATAGAAATTCCATTCTATTTATTTAAACGATGATTCAGCTTTAATTATTGCTCTGGGCTGACATTGTAAACATTTCATTGATGCGGGACGGGTTAAGTGTTTTATTGAAGGTTAAATTAAAGTTAATGATACAACGTCGATGCTGTTAAGCGATTTCTTGTCTAAATGGGTTGAGTTCCGGAGAGACACAGCTAAGGTTTCAGTTCAGGGAATCCGTCTTTACAATGAACGTAAAATACCTCGCCGCAGATTGTTTGCCTTTGCGTTGAGTTCTTGGAAATTTAAAAGCTTTTTTTGTATACTGCACTGAGCGAAATACTTTGTTCAATTCCATTTATGTGTGCAATATATATTCATAGATATTCCTTCTTACCGTTAAGGTTCCCGGTATATATATACATATATATATTAAAATCTATAATATAAAATTATTAATTATGTAAAATAATCATTCTTGTTCAAATCAAGAAAATCTGTTTTTCAGCTTTTTTAGATAAAAAGAAGTCACAGAACACTGCTCTGAGTGTATTTATTTCTGGGAGATCTCTGAGTGTATTACTTGCTGAAAAACTTACTGGCCGAAGCCAGTAATCTGCATTTTTAACTTAAACTTACTTTGATGCAGCTGAACTTAGTTGCTGGCGCTTATAATCTGCACAAAGTGTTTCATTTCATTAAAGTGTCTGTTCTGTCTGGGCTGGTTTGTAGTTTACTTGAATCTGTCAAATGTAATTTGAATTGCAGCATTGCAACAGCTGTGCTGTGGGTCTTGAAGCTCAGAGCCCGGAATTGGCAAGCTTTTGAAGAAATAACAATGTTGCACAAAACTTAGGGATTTGCGGGCACCACAGGAAATAGAAGCAAGGCCAAACAAAACCGCATTATCCGTAGCGCACCTGTAGCTAGCCGCAAGTTGCAAAATTCCATTAACTTAAATAAGTCACAGAAAGTTTCAAACGTGGTCTGCATTGCTTTTTTTGGCAGCTCAGCAAGTTGCTGAAAGCTTTTTACAGCATTCTGGATGATACGAAGAGAAACAACAAGCTTGATTTATAATAATATTCATAATATTTAACATTTCCTTCTTGAAAAAGGGTTGCATGAAAATGCATGTAACAGGCAGAAGAAAGCATCCTGATCAGGCCGACGAGCGAAATTGAGATATATGTACGTCTAAGCCATGCGCAAAAAAAGTTTATTATTATTTTTTGGATATTTCGTTTCATTTTGAAAATATCGATAAATATCGATCAATATCGATGTTTGTCTTAAGCATAACTTGTGGATTATAAGATCTA